TGGTCAGTGCATTCCTTTTTGACAATAATAAACCAAATAGTTTGTTAGTTTATTTGTTTTTCAGCCTCATCCAGACTTTGGTCCTCATATCTAAAATTACAGTCAACAAAAAGCTATAAAATCCAGTTAAAGTAAGATTTTTTAATCCCTCAAGTTAGAGCTCAAAGTCTGCTCTTCAGTCTTATATTGATCATTTGATTTAATAATCCACTGTGGTGGTGGTGGACAAGTGCACAACTATAAAAGAGTGTGCCTTTATCTTATCCATCTAACTGTAATTACAAACTACTTCACTTTTAACAGGGTGACTCAGTCTGTCCAGTCCAGTCCACGGCACACATTTCTGAGCCACTTTTGTTAGTGATCTGCTTTTAGGTGTGCGTAATGCTCGATTTAAACTGGATGACTCATAAATCAAAGTGGAGACTAAATAAACAGGGTGGGAGAGAAACTATTGAAAACAGCGCAGAGTGAGACCTCTGTCTGCATCCTCTGCTCGGCTCGTCCTTTTATTCAAATATAAGACTGGAAAACGTAATTTCTACCCAATACGCGCGCTCCGGCGTGACATAATGGAACGTGCCAGGCTAGAAAAGCTCGGGGCGGTGCGCGCGGGCGTGTATTCAGATCCTGTAGGAGAGGAGAAGAGCGACACGGGGTGTTCACACAAGTGTTGCAAGTGTTGTATTCATTTTAAGAGCAGATCATTCCCGGCGCGGTTCGTCTCTGTGAGGTTATGGGCAGGACACAGTTCTGAGGGAGTGTCGAGCAGCGCCACTTGTCATTGTACCCACGGAAATAATGATGAAGAAGGATATTAACTTGAGCTTGGCGGACGACGCAGACCTGAAACCGCACCTCCGCGACGCTGAGAGCATCCTCAGCTCCCCGGACCTTGGGCTGCTCAAGCTGGCCTCTCCAGAGCTGGAAAGGCTAATCATCCAGTCCAACGGAATGGTCACCACGACTCCGACCAGCTCCCAGTTCCTCTACCCGAAGACGGTGACGGACGAGCAGGAGTTCGCCGAGGGCTTCGTGAAGGCGCTGGAGGATTTACACAAGCAGAACCAGCTGAACGGAGGCGCGCCGCCCAGCAGCACCCTGGATCTCGGGGCTAACATCGCCCCAGTCACCGTGCAGCCGGATCTACCGGTGTACACGAACCTGAACAGTTACGGCAGTGGGCCGCTGGGAACCACTGTCAACTACACCACGGACACGGTCCCTTTCCCGCCTCCTCCGTCACATCATTTAGGGGCAGCCCCGCCGCAGCCAGAGCTGTCTCGGGTCCAGCCGCTGAAGGAGGAGCCTCAGACGGTCCCCGACGTTCAGAGCTTCGGAGAGAGCCCGCCGCTGTCTCCGATCGACATGGACTCTCAGGAGCGCATCAAAGCCGAGAGGAAGAGGCTCAGGAACCGAATCGCAGCCTCCAAGTGTCGGAGGCGCAAACTGGAGCGCATCTCCAGGCTGGAGGACAAGGTCAAATCGCTGAAAACCCAAAACACCGACCTGGCCTCGACAGCTAGCCTGCTGAGGGAGCAAGTGGCCCAACTGAAGCAGAAGGTGCTCACCCATGTGAACAGCGGTTGCCAGCTGCTGCCACACGAGGTTCAAGTGCACTAGTCGGAGGGACTAACCTGCTGTTGGGCCACTGACCAGTTTATAAGCTCCTTGGACTTTGTTAATGTTGGGGTTTCCGTGTGTGTCGTAGCCCAGATGTGTGCCGTTACGCGCAGGGGATGAATGCCAGGCCACGTAGGCCAAAACTGTACATTCATGTTCGTCTGTTTAACAAAAAAATCGAAAAGAAAACTGAACTTTTATGATTGGTCAAACGTAAAACACACCTGGCACAAAATACATCAACACATGGACCTCAGCGCGGATACCAGCCAGCAGCAAGTCAAACTGTGTTTGCGTTCCTCGACCATTTGTTCAAACTCGCCCCCACTTTGCGAATAGAACAAATCAATATGATGTATTTGCTTTTTAAGTCAAATTGGTGTATTTATTTTGGTGCCGAAATGAAGGGCATTTGCCTCTAATATATTCTACATAACTAATTCTATGTATGTTTACTGTTGAACAAGGCAGCTTTAAACTGCCAGTATTTTCAATGAAATGATGCCATGGGCTTTCCTAATGGGAGAAAGAGTCGCGTATACGTGTTTACTGACTGCTTATATGCAGTCGTCAGCTGGACCAAACAGACAGACAGTGTTTCTACGATAATATACACATTTATGATTCTGATATTCTTAAAATATGAGGGATTTGGTTGTAAAAAGAAGAAGGGAAAACGCCAACCACACCCATATTTGATACATGAGATCTGATCTACACTTATAGCCTACATGCTGTGTATTTCTGTAGGGAACAATTTGCATGTTGCTGACAAACTCGAATGTTGCCCGCTGCTGGGTTCACATGAGGAATTAATCAGTGTCTATTATCTGTAACCTTTCTTTTTTTAATACTCTACTGAGTCTTTACTGCAAATGTGTTCTTGTTTTAAATGTGAAGAAGAGTGTAATCTTTCTGTTTGCGCTGACTGTTGCGATCACCTCTAGCCTACAGTTATTCGGCTTTATGCGGTTGTGTTTGAAATAAATGCTGCTGGGCAATAAACACTGTTTCCTCCATATTTTAGTCAGCCTCGCTGTTTTTTATTGGGGTTTTTACCTGCACATTATGAAGGTCACATGTAGTCTACAGTAAACAAGGTGTTAAACAGGTCAGGCTTCATGGTCAGTTTCATGACGGGCAGTTACATTAAAGCGCCAATGCGGAGCCGAGATTAGTTTTCGAATGATTGTGAAACTACCTGTTGTTTACCTGTTATTTTTTTTCTGCCACTTTATGGAAATGATCCCTTTAAGGAGTGCAATTTTATCTTGCTGTCCAGAATTAGTGATTCAGTGTTGCATTAACACATTTTTGGCAGTATAATTTCATCTGTTGTTTAGATTTCTGTATAAAAGCATCAGGCTGGAGGATTTCCCCCTCTGCTGGTTATTTGTGCAATTACAAATGAAACAAGAGCATTTTAGGACAAAATGTTTTTGACCTTCGTGGCAGTGGACGAGATTCATCCAGCACATCTATTCAGTTCAGTTTAATTCAGTTTTATTTTGATAGCTCCAAATCATGACAGCTGCCTGAATCACTTATTTGGATGTTGTCAACTCCAGGGCTGAGAAGAACTCAACCAGCTGTTTTGTAGATATTTGTACCAATATTTTATTCTGAAATTATAAGAATATCCCACACCCACAGGTGCTTCCAGTGACTGTTATGAGGTCATGTTCTGCAATGTTCAAGAAACCAGCTTAAGATGATTTGACCTTTGTGACACGATGTGTTATCCTGCTAAAAGCAGCCATCAGAAGATGAGTTCACTGTGGTGATAAGGGGATAGATGGTCAGAAACAATGCTCAGGTAGGCTGCGGTGTTTAAATGAGCCATCAGTATAATCCTCTCAATCTTGCAGCAGAAACTGAGTCTCAGTAGACCAGAGAAGATTTTTTGTAATCTTCTGTTGTCCAGTTTTTGTGAGCCTGGGTGAATTATAGCTTCAGTTTAATGTTTCTAGCTGACTGAACTGCGATCTTCTGCAGCTGTAGCCTATCTGCTTCAGGACTCAGTGTGTTGTGCACTCAGAGATGCTCCTCTGGATACCTTGGTTGTTTAAGATGTAATCATTTTAACTGCTGTTGCCCTCTCATCTCAGTTATCATTAAGGCTTTTTGATAAGAGAACCGCTGCTCTTTTGGAGACCATTCTCCAAAAGAAGGCTGCATGGCAAAATATCAATAGCTCAACAGTCTCTTAAAATACATCAGGCCCGCCTATCAGCTGCATTTACAGTGACTTATATTACCTTTCTTCCCCGTTCAGATGTCTGGTTTGAACTGTATGCCTAAAATGCATTGAGTTGGTTCTATGTGACTGGATGATTGCACGTATATGTTACCAAACAATTGAACAAATGTACCTAATAAAGTGGCAGGTGAGTTGTTTAACATTTAAATGCCCTTCTCTCTCTCTCTCTGGGTCTTTGACGGACACTGACTAGTTTCTGAGATTTTCTTCAAATTTCTTTCAAAAATGAAAAGTGAAAGAGTGACATCCTGAGGATGTTGAAGCTACTAGCAGCTAGATATTTGCCACCAAAATGACAATTTCATGCTAAATCCTGGTGACTCAAGCATCTGTCATATGTTATTATTTTAAACTAATCTGAATCTTAAGTGCAGAGTAAAAACCTCACTGGATGTTGAAGAAGCGGCAGGTAAAAGCATTCACTGAGGGCAGAAACACTTCAAAAACCACAGTAAACTGAATGTTAGCAACTTTTTTTTTTTTAATTATTGTTTTACCACAAAGTACAGATAAAAACATCCACAGCATATTCTCTCACTTTAAATGGCCCAAACTGAGAGGGAACTGAAGAGGCAGTGATACAAGACCAAATCAAGTCACATGTTATTTCTGCGTGCTAGTAGAAGCTCTACAGTCTGCAACCTCTACCAAGCTGGATGGCGTTTGTTTTTGTGTACATACTGTAGTGTGTATTGCTTCGTAGCTGAGTGACACATTCATTCACAAGCAGGCCTAGAAATGAATGCAGGGTACAGTACAACATGGCTCTTTGGGGGATTTCAGGTCTTTTTTTCTTCTTTTTTTAAATGCAAGCCTGAGTCAATACAACACAATCCACACATATGACTCAAAGGTAGAGTATTTACAGACAGGGTTTATATGGACAGGAAGACATATTAGAAAGGACAACAGTTCAAAGTTTTGGATTTTACCAGAAAGGAAACAGTCACAACCAGTAAGAAGTATAATGTATGCAGGATCAAAATCATCTCCCCAGCTTATAGTCATATTTACTGGCCAAATCACTTCCTGTTCTAATAACACCACTCTGAATGGAGACTCAGTTTTTTATAGTATTGAAGTTCCTGCCAAACATGAGACACCAGCTTTACAAAGTCATTCATTACTGATTTTCATCCAGTAGTGCTTTGCCCTCTCAGTCCATAGATGTCATCCCATTCATCAATATGGGTTAACGCTGATATCATTTTGATATGAACAGGACTCACAATATATCCCTGTGAGGAACTTGTTTTATTACCTGTTTAAACGTTTAAAATTGGTTACGCTCCTTGACCTGGCACCCCACAGCAAAAACAGCGAGCTGCTTCTTAAGCAATCTTTGGTGAAGTATAAAGAAGAAATACCCAGTAAGCCAGTTTTAACCGTTAAAACTGTAATAAAACCAAAGTGCAAATACTTTCCCAGTACTGAATATTTAACTCCTGCATTGGCTCGAGCCTTCAGCTGCTTTACGCTTGCTTCGTATTTAAACAGTGCGGTCCATAATTTACCTGAAGACTGAGATCAAACGCAAACACACAAATAAACCGACGCCCACACAAGAGCCCACATTTATCTGTAATACTGAGGTGTTAGTGGTATTAATCGTGTAGTGTTTTTTTTTATAAGCAGATAAACACGAGGAGTCAGCATGTTCTTTGATACGCTGTCTCCGTCCAGAAAAGAAACGAGTTCTCTTTCAGAATAATGCAACCAAACACATATAAACGGATATACACCCCACACATGTTACCATACATGTTTTCTCTGTCTTGAATCTCGCTACGGTGCTGTACCATGTGTCAGCATGACCTCTACTCTCTGTAAGTCTCAACCAGCAAGACAGAAGCTCAGGACTGTAGTTGTTGAATGATTTTGAAAGCAAGCCAGCATACTGTACTCACCTAGAGGTCAAAGATCAGTAGATCTGCCAAGTAACCACAACAAACTCCAATCTGGCCGTTTTGGGAATCATCCTAATCTATCCTGATGTTTCTTCCACTGCCTGCAGGCAAGCTACCAATAGAAAGCAAAATACCCTGGAATATCAAAGAAGCAACATCGCTCTTGTCCTTCAAAGATTGATGAAATGTTTCAGTGTCTTGATATTTGAGGACAGCAATCAAAGAGATGAAAGTCTGAAGGTTTTCGCTGTTACATGACGTCAACTTCAGTATTTTACAAAAAAAGGTATCTGCAGAATTTTCTCCACCTGATGGAAAATACTTTCAACTGTGTTGCACAAAGATGCTTTTTAGACAGCCTCCTATTTTTCCCTTTATCTTCCAGTGACAAAGACAAAGACACATTAAAACCTTTTTCTATTACACGAACACTGAGAACCTAAATGGCTTTAAGACTATTCTGAAAAAGAAATGCATCTCCTTCCTCTAAAATAGAACTTACGCAACGATGCTACGCGTCACAGCAGTGAAAACCACACCAGACGGATTTAGACTTGTTAGTAATTTAGCAGAAAGTTTCGATTTATGATGGTGCATTATTTCTGAAAGTAGCACGAGACATAACCAAGAGGGAAATTCGGCGGCTCGCAGAAGACACGCTTCGACATGCTTCGACACGACCTCCAAACAAACAGGCCTTTTATACCAGATACTGTCCTCACAGAGCTTCGTACCGTCTTCATACTTATCCAGAAATGCATACCTGTAGATGTTATGTATATAGATATATATATTGCACAACATTTATATGTACATTTGAAATAAATATAAGTAAATAAAATGTGTCTCTTCATTTTTTGCTATTTTTCACTTAGTTATAATTTGTTCGCATCCCTCTCACCCCCCTAAGTGTTTTGCTGTAGGAAAAAAAGGGGGGGGAGGGGCCAAAGTACAAAAAGAAATGTAAAAAATGAAAAAAGGCGAAATAGTCAGATGAACAACGGAAAGACAGAACGCTTGCTATCTGTTCTGAAACTTGGTGAGACAACAAAAGAGACATTTCACAACATATATGAAATTCATTACATTGATACCGAGCAGATCTCAGCTGGATCACCACTCCTATGGAACTGAGCAGTGTGGCCCTCTTGGTCACCAAATCCAAGGCTGGCATCTTTTCCAAGATATTCAACTGACATGAAACAAAGAACTGTAAACATGGGAAGGATTTTAATGGCACTCTGAGGGTGTACGTTACGCCGTCAAATCCTTCTTGTAAAACCACACCGAGGATCAGAGAAACAACATACGACGGGTTGAAAAGCTTCAAGAACCAGGCTGCAAAGAGTCTGAAACTGCAGCTTGATTTAAGGTGCTTTGGCATCATACCAGCACCTGCACTTTTTGAATGGCCTTTTAGCTCATTTGTGCAGAGAAACCAGGAGCAACCACATTAAAAACACTAACTGAGGCACTTTTCAGACACTTTTCAGCTTGATTCTTGTGACCTTTAGCCAATCTTCCTACAGAGACGAGCAGAAAAAGAGGTGAAACGGGTGATGAAGTACAGACCCAAGGACCTGGGGTCCAGCTGAAAGGAGGACAAGGAGAAAGACAGTGGAAAAGGGTTTTGGAAAGGAGTCAGCTTTAACATGCACAGTCCTGGTGAGGAGGAGCGGGCTGCTCTGTCAGCTGGGGCCCCTGTTTGGCCCCTGTGACAGCGGGATCGCCGGCATCCAGACTCTCAGACATCTTTTCACAGATGATGTCGACCAGGCGCTCAAAGGTCTGCTTCACATTGATGTTGTCCTTGGCGCTGGCCTCGAAGAACTCGAAACCTGGAGGAGAAACAGAGCATG